CTGGAGGGACTGGGAATAATTTGGGAGAAATGCGGAATGCGAGCGGGAAGGGGTGGAGATTGTTGGGATGGGATGGGGTGGCCTGGGGAGGAGTGGGCGGAATGCGAAGAACTGAAGAATAGCACAATGGAGCGAGCGGCGACTGCGGCGACAGCAGTCCCTAACGGGCTGGTCGGACGGGCAGGCCCAAACGGGCGGGTCGAGCGGGCGGGTCGTTGAAGCGTAAATTCTGCTAGAACCGCCAGGCAATATGTAGCGGGAGCGCGATTCCTGAGTGCCGAAAAGCGGCATCTGAATAAATCGTGAAGAACTATCAGGCGGGAGCCGCGATTCGGTGGTAAGTTGCGAGGACGTCCCAAGCGAGAGCGCGATTCTTCGATGAATTCTGAGGAAGTATCAAGCGGGAGCCGCGATCCGGTGGTAAATTGCAATAAAGTCCCAAGCGAGGGCGCGATTCTTCAATAGACTGTAAAGAAGAATCCAGCGGGAGCCGTTGTTGTTGTAAACCGGGGGCCAACAACACAGTTTGACCCTCAATACTTTCCCTGATAAAAAACCGGGTGCGAGCCCCTGGACAGTGCGGACAATGTGCACCGGACGGGGGGGATCAACAATAATTGTTTTCAGAAGTGAGAGTTCAACAACAACAACAACAACAACAACAACAACAACAACAACAACAACAACAACAACAACAACAACAACAACAATTACTAGCACGTGGGGACACTCCGTTCTCACCAGTGCCAGGGTTTTCATAGGAGGCGGGCAATACCCCCACTTAGTGGGGGGGCCGGTTCAAGCTCTACCAAATTTCCAAACGACTCGTCGCCACCACCCACAACAACAACAACAACGAAATACTAAGCACGTGGGGACACACCGTTCTCACCTGTGCCCGGGTTTTCATAGGAGGCGGGCAATACCCCCACTTGGTGGGGGGGCCGGTTCAAGCTCTACCAAATTTCCACACGACTCTTCGCCACCACCCACACCCAGCTTCCCGCCCTATGACGTTCGGAAACTTCACTTCGTGGCATGCGGACGACCGTGGCTACTATTCAGGGCCCCGCGGCCGACGACGACGGCGTGCGCGCGCGAAGAAAAAACGAATGTGTCCCGCATGGTATTATTTGACAGGGATGATGGCCCTGGCAGGTGCGCAACCGTTGTTGCAGAAGTTCGAAAAAGTTGCTCGGAAAAGCCCATTTGACAGAAATGTTTAAAAAGTGTTGGGTTTCCGACAAATCCGCAAGAGCGCGCGGGATGAAATTTTGGCATTTTTTTTTTTTTTTTTTGTTGAAAAACCATTGGTTTTTTGATGTTTTTATGTTGAAATCGCTACGAACACTAAGGTTTTGGAAGGATTTCGTCTTGCGCGCGCGAATGTCCACTTTACCTTATTTTTTGCAAGGGATTCTTGAAGTTTGGTTATGTTAGAACAAGAAATGTCCACTTTAGCTCATTTTTTGCAAGGGAAAACGGGGGACAACAAAACAACCGGATCCGGACACCCACGTTTTGCCTGAGACTTCCTCACGAAAATGATTAAAATGTGGCTGCGGCCTAGGCGCGGCGAGGGGGCCGCGCACCTCACGAAAATGATGAAAATGTGGCTCCGGCCTAGTCGCGGCGAGGGGCCGCGCAAACCAGGGGTCCCAACAATAATTATTCTTTAGAATAAATACAAATGTTCAAATCAACAACGACAACAACAACAACAACAACAATCATTTAAGACTGGGGACACTCCGTTCACACCAGTGCCAGGGTTTTCATAGGAGGCGGGCAATACCCCCACTTTGTGGGGGGGCCGGTTCAAGCTCTACCAAATTTCCAAACGACTCTTCGCCACCACCCACACCCAGCTTCCCGCCCTATGACGTTCGGACACTTCACTTCGTGGCATGCGGACGACCGTGGCACTACACTGGCGTGGAGTGGGGTACACACCCACAAACAGAACTTGGTCACTATTCGGGGCGCGCGTGTCCAGCATCCTGCAAATTTGACATACAATACATGACACAGACAGACAGAAGAGAGACCAGAGAGCAGGACAGAGAGAGAGACAGAGAGAGCGAGTTGGTCACATTTTTTGGGGCAAGTACCTGAGATCGTCGTGTTTTTTGTTGGTCTTTCGCGCGCGAATGGCCACTTTACTTTTTTTTGCAAGGAGTATTGAAAATTTGATTATGTTAGAACAAGAAAAAGTAGCTCGCGCTAGCTCTGTAACATAAATGTTGAAAAACCAGAGTCGGCACAAAGCGCGCGCGAATGAAATTTGGACATTTTTTTTTGAAAAACCAGTGGGTTTTTGATGTTTTTATGTGAAAATCGTTACGAACCCTAAAGGTTCAGGAAGGATTTCGTCCCTTGTTGCGCGCGCGAATGTCCACTTTACTTATTTTTTGCAAGGGAGTATTGAAATTTGATTATGTTAGAACAAGAAAAAGTAGCTCGCGCGAGCTCATGTAACATAAATGTTGAAAAACCATTGGTTTTGTGGGATTCGGACAGCGCGCGCGGAAGGACATTTTGACATTTTTTTCTTAAAAAACCATTGGGTTTTTGATGTTTTTATGTTAAAATCGCTACGAAACCTAAGGTTTTGGAAGGATTTCGTCTTGCGCGCACGAATGTCCACTTTACCTTATTTTTTGCAAGGGATTCTTGCAATTTGATCAAGTAAGAACAAGAATTTTCATTTTCTATTGTTTTTTGCAAGGGACAGCGGGGGGGAACAAAACAACCGGATCCGGACACAATCCACTTTTCTGAAGCTTTCACGAAAAAATGATGAAAATGTAGCTGCGGCCTAGGCGCGGCGCAGAGGTCGCGCACCAGGGGTCCCAACAATAATAATTCTTTAGAAGGAATAATATTCAACAACAACAGCAAACAACAACAACAACAACAACAACAACAACAACAACAACAACAACAATCCGCATCGCGGAATTCCACTTCAGCCACGCACCCAGGACAGTGAATGACCGTTCGGTTCAGCCCCCTCACTCTGATACAAAAGAAACCATCAAAATACTGGAAAAGGCAAAAAAAAAAAAAAACAAAAAAAAAAAAAAAAAAAAAAAAAAAAAAATGGAGGAAGGAGGAGGACGAGGATATGATCGACTGATGGATTGAACACCGCTGCGGTCAGGCATGAGGGCACAGCCAGGAACGGGCAAGTGAGAAGAAACGAAGAGGAGAAAGAGGAGAGCGAGTTTTGCTAGTCCAGCCCAACCTGCAGAAACAACGCAACTCTCCCTGGCCACCAAGAACCCCCCCCAGGATCCCCCACACCCTCTGGAGCGCACAGACAGACCCCCGAAAAACTGTTCAGGTACGGCAGAACCTCGACCCCCGATCGTCGTGGACGACGACAACCATGGGGAAACGACGGCGACGCCGACTACGGTGGAACTTGCACTACTTGCGGAGCCCTTTTCGGGGAGACGTAAGAGTCGGGATCGGGGGACTCGAGTTGGCCTGACGGGGCCGTCATGAAAATGCCGAGACCCAGTCGAAAACTTAACGCGAGCTCCCGCTGCAAACATCCCACTAAAAGTGGACCGTCAAAATCCAGGACGCGTCAAAAAACGTAGGCGACCCCGAGTTCCAGCGTATTCAAGTCGTACATTTCCCCGACCTTAGAATGACCACTGATCGTTTGAAAACCGTTAACGCAAATCTTCATGAACGGATTTGCAGACCTGGAGACCTCCTAATCGAATGGGGCCGGAATGGATGGGGTTGGAGGGTCGCACCGCATCGCTGGTGCATCGGCGATGCATGTGCCACGCGGGGATGGCGAAAATTGGGTTCTGGGTCGCGCCGAATGTCCGATGCATCAGCGATTCGGCGCGATCCACCGACCCCATCTGATCCGGTCCAGTCCGGGAGGCCTTGCGGATATTCCCAGGTCACTCAGTGTCGCGCACCGCGCCCCGCGATGCGCGACGCGCGGTCAACTTCGCGCCCACGCGCCGCCGCCACGGACAAGGGCAGCCCTCTGGCCCAGACCGCGACGGGCGAAGCGCGAGGATCTCCACGCCCCCGCGGGCGACCTAGTTCCCAGTCTCCTCCCACCCTGCATTTTTCGCGTAACCTCGACCCCCAGGGCTTCCACCACTTCCCTGGGGCTAGCTTTCCATCCCGAGTCTATACTTGGTGGAGCCAGGGAACGCCCTCCAGATTTTTGTTGCGCCGTCCGTACCTTAGAGCACCTCGATCCTCCATTCCCAATCCGACCCCGGGATCCAACGTCGCGAGCAACATCGCGAACAGTCAAGACTGGAGCCCCAGTTCACATCTTTCTGCGGTAGTTCTCGAGCCGGATCCATCTGTGAGGGTCCCGAGGCCCGAAACTGGGCGAAACCGCCCGCTTCGCGCATCCCCACCAGCCCATCCAGAAACGATGCCGTGCGATTTCCCTTGATGATCTTTGACGGCCCTGGGGCCGGAAAACGGCCTGCGGCGGCCGAAGACGGCGAAAAACTGGCCACCACGGTTTGCTGCATCGCCCAGATCTGAAGTTTCCCGCTGGTGACGGCAGGCCCAGCTAGCCTTCGTCCGACACGATAGTCGTCTAGTGCTCGGGTCACAACTCGGGCCTCCGGCGGCCGCTCGGGACGAGAAAGGGCACCCCGGGAACGCCCACGGGCGGGGCGCGGCTGCTGGACGGCGCACTGGGGCAGGCCCGGCCGCCGAGGACGGCCGAGGCAACGGGAACCCTGAGATTCGACGTTGCGGAAAATTGCAACTTCGAACAAAAATCACGCCTGGAGCCCTGGACCCCACCTTTCTGCGCCATTTTTCGGGCCGAATCGACCTGCGAGGGTCCCATGGCCCGACATTATGCGAAAACGCCCGTTTTGAAAAAATTGCAACGCAGGGATCTCAGGGAGCGCCCATCCCCGGAGGCCTGCCCGCTGGTGACAGTCGGGCCTGCCCTGTCGCACGGCGGCGCCGGGCGCGGCGGCGGCGTGCGGGGTCTCCTGGCTGAGAGGCCGAGCGCGGCTGGGCCCCGCACTGCGGCCGTGCCAGCCGCTCTCCGGGCCCGCGGCGGCCAGGTCCGCCTCCGAGGGGGGCGGCCCAGGGGCCGTTCCTCCTCGTCAACCCTGCTCGTCGCCTCCTGTTCCCTCTTTCTCATCCTCCTCCTCCCTCCTCCTCACTCATCCCTC